GGTGGTGGCACAGGGGTGATTTGGTGATGGGAAACCCGTGGGGATTACAATTGAGATGAAAAAAAAAAAATGTGCAAAATGATGTAAAAATAAACTTTTTAATAAAAAAAAATGTCTGAACAACAAAAAAAAATGGTTAATGGTAGGTCATTTAAGATAGACTACTACCATGGACTGGTTAAAATGTCCATATAAATCTGTAATACTGGTATTAGTTATCAAACATGTTAAGTTTCCTTCTCTGTAGATAGCCTACTGGCACTGAGCTCAATGAAATCAACTAAGAGATTACTTACGTATGAACTCCATCTGATTTTCTTTGTTCAAAAACTAAGGTTCTTCCTTCTGGAGAGGCAAGATGGAAATCAATATCTAATCCTGCTCCATCTAAAACCTAGAGAAAAGCACAGAAGAGAATACATAACAAATTATTAAAATTAAAATTTACCTGAAACATCATATGAAAACTTTTTTTTTTAAACTGAGACGGGCAGGAAAATCTACCTTCTAGAAGAGAAATAAGAAGGAAGTTCAATCGGAGGCTCTTTCACCTCTTCAATAAAGTAGGAATAATTAACTACTTTCTAACCTCGAACTCAAAGCTTCCATGGTCTAACTTCAATATCATCAATGCATTCACCCATTATTGCTCAATATGAATCATGTATTCCAAGTAGGCTGTCTCTTATTGGTCAGTGAACATGACCTATTCTTTTACAATTCCAGAATGTAATGGTTATGATGATAATGATAGCAGTTAACAATTACAGTTTATACCACATTTTAAAATTGCTTTATGTACATTAATTCCTCACAACTCTAAAAGGTAGGTCTTACTAATTCTCATTTTTGTTTAAAAAAAAAATGAGAGAGGCCCTCCTTGGTAGTTCAGCAGGTTAAAGCACAGCACTAAGAAGCCAAAGCCACTTCAGCATGGGTTCGGTTCGATCCCTGTCTGGGAGGTGACCACAATGGTGAGGCAGACCTCTCCTGACCCGCCCGCTGCTCCCCTCAGCTGTGTACTTAGGCAGTGTACTTCGTCAATTCGCCTGTTCTGCTCCTCACTCTGTCTCTGGTGAATCTTCTCACTGTTCTATATGCATAAATAAATCTTTTTTTTTTTAAATATTTTCCAAGAAAATACAATAAGTATTTTAAATGGTCAATATGTAAACTTGGCAATCTGCTGTCAATTACTACTGTTTTTTCCTATATAACAGTCCATTTTATTTTCCTTGGTGGAATGATATAAAAGACTACTGACTGTTGTGACCTTACTAATCAAATGGTTAGCTAAATACAGGTTCTTTAAATCCAATGAAATGAAGAAAACACAATATAAATAATCTATAACAACACTGAAAATCTAGTAATACTTAACAGACTTGAGTAAAAATTTCTAGAAGATACTCAATAAAAACATTTACCACAATTGATCTCATACTTTTATCAATTAAGCAATTAGATCATTAAATTTTGGATTTTTGTTATCTAATACCTAAGTACTTGGGATTCAGCACCCCTATAAAAAGAGGGGATGAGATTTCGAGGTAGCAAGATACAGAGAGCACGAACTGAAAAATTGTATTTAAAAGAAGGTCTTTTGAAGAGTGACATCTTCAATAAACTTAAAAATGTAAGTCCACAGGCATATGGAGACAAGAGAGCCTGTCCATCTTTGCCACAAATCATATAGATTAAAATAATACATGCTCAGCAAATAATTTACAGTATTACATATCAAGTCTACAGTTTGATTTTTCACTACCATATATAAAGATCTGAGCAGAGAAATTAAAATGAAAGAGTCCTCTGTACAGAATGCCTGGGAAGTAGCAAGTGCAAAACCTCCCTCAAAAAAAAAATATCAGGTCTCTGTGGTTTCAGTAATAAATTTTCCCAACCTCACAGGCAAAATAATACCAATTCTTAATTTCTTCCAGAAAATAAAAGTAGAGGGAACACTTCTTAACTTAGCCTGTGAGGATATTACCCTAACACAAACAAACGAAATGAAGACATTATAAAAAAGAAAATAACAGATCATTAATTTTTCATGAACATGAGTACAAAAATCCTCAAAAAATACTAAGCAAATCCAGCAATGTATAAGAAAATGTAAATTCACGACCACTAATAGACATATATGGCTAATTCAACATTCAAAAATCAATTAATCCATCACATCTATAGGCTTAAGAGAAATTAATGGTCATGCTTAATAAGATGCAGAAAATCATTTGGTAAAATCCAATACTCATACCATACAACAAACAGCAAACTAGCAATACAAAGGAACAGTCTCCATTTGGTAAGAAACAGCTACAAAAAACCTACAGCTAAAATCATACTAAAATGGCAAGAAGCTAGATGCTTTTCCCTAAGATCAGGAATGAGACAACATCCTCTCTTGTCACTCCTCTTTAACATCACACTGGAAGTCACAGAAAATGCCAAGAAGACTGGTTAAAAAAGGTGTATGTACTGGGAAGGAAGAATCAAACTCTTTATTCACAGATGATTGTACAGAAAATCCAAAAGAGAACAATTTTTTTTTTAAAGACTTACTTATTTGTGCATACAGAACTGGGGTACAGGCCAGAGGCTCAGGGGCGAGAGGCTTCACCAGAGACAGAGTGGGGAGCAGAACAGGGGAGCAGCGGGTGGGCCAGGAGAGGTCTGTCTCACCATGTGGTCACCTCTGGGACAGGCTGGAATTTAACTCATGCGGAAGTGGCTTTAGCTTCTCAGTGTTGTGCTTTAACCAGTTGTGCCACCAGGGAGGGCCCCCAAAAGATACAATTTTTAAAAAATAAACTATTTAGTGTTAACAGCTACGTCTTAGGCTACAACACTAATACAGAAAAGTCAATTGTTTTCCAATGTACCAGTAGTGAATGACTAGAATGGAATGAAAAGGGACACCATTTATATAAGCACTGAAAAGAGAGAAAAAAAGGGAATAGGAGATATCTACCAATATGTATGAAATGTACATTAGGCAAACTACAAAAAGTGATGGAAAGAAATAAAAGATAATCTGAATAACTGGAAAGATATATCATGTTTATAGATAGGAAACCACAATATTGTTATATCAAGTGTTCCCAACTTGTCCTGAGACTCAACAAAATACCAATGAGAATTCCAGCAAGCTGTTTTTAAGATGTCAACAAACTAATTCTAAAATTTATATGGAAAGGTAAAAGATTACTCATCATAATAATGGAAAAGAATAGAGCTAGAAGGCTCTACACAAAGTCATTAATCAAGATGGTAGTGTTTTGACAAGAGCAAATAGAGCAAATAGTTATAGAACAGACCAGAATAGAAAATTCAAAAATAGACTAATACAAATACAATAAACCATCTTTCACAAAAGAACAAAGGCAATTCACTAGAAAAAGTCTTTTTATACAAATGGTTCTGGAACTGGTCATACACATCAAAAAAAACTCAACCTAGCGCAGACTTTAACTTTTCACAAATGTTAACTTTAAGTATAAGATGTTACAGATTGTAAAGTTTCTAGAAGTAACCTAAGAGTAAACCCAGATGACTACTGGCTTGGTGATGAATTTATAGATAGGTAACCTGAAGCAATATCTGTAGAAGAAAAAATTTGATAAAATGGATTTCATTAAAATCGAAAAATGTTCTGCAAAAAACAAAAACAAACAAACAAAAAATCCAGCAAAGAAAATAAACACGCCTTCCTGGACAGGACTAGGAGTTAAGTGTGAACATTATAACCACTGCAGCCAGAGTATGCTTCCGCAGCCAGCCAGCTAACCCTCATCTTCTCCTGTCTCATTCACCACTTCCTTTAGCGTATTTCAGTAAACCTGCCTGTTCTGCTCCCCACTCAGTCTCTGGTGAGTGACTTACACCCGTTCTCCTAATAAATAAATAAAATAAACAGATACAAGCAAACTGGAAGAAATATTTGCAAAACAAATCTGATAAAATATTTGTATCTAAAATACACAAAAACTCATTAATGAGAAAACACATCCCATTTTTAAAAATGGGCAAAAAACCTGGATACTTCTTAAAGATACAAAAGTCAAATAAACGTGAAAAATGCTCACCATCTGAATTACAAATTAAAACAATAATGAGATATTACCTATTAGAAAGGTTAAAGTCCCAAAACTGGCAGACTTAAATGTAGATAAGAATGTGAAACAGAACTTGCATTCATTGTTGCTGTTCAAAATAGAGCCATTCTGGAAACCAGTTTGTCATTTATCACTAAGTAAATATGTATGTTTATATATATATATATATGCATACATATGTATAAAGTTTTATGCAACAGTGTAAAGTCCCTGTATCTGCCCAATTGGACTGAAAACACTGTTACACAAAAACCTACACATATATGTCTATTCCAGTGTTACTCATTAGCAAAACTTGGAAGCCATCCAGGTATTTTTCAATAGGTAAACAGATAAACTACAATATGAGTTATCAAGTATTATAAAGATAAGGAAGAATCTTAAGTACACTTAAGATTCTGGTGGCACAATGGGGTTAGTCTCAGCACTGATCTGATTCCTGTCAAGTCTGCTGACCCACATGGGGCAGCAGCCCTCTCCTGTTAGGCACACTGCTCCCCTCAGTGGTGTTTTTCAGTCCGTCCATCTGTTCTGCTCCCTACTCTATTTGTAAGATGTAGATAGTAAGGTTTAAAAACTTCAAGAACTTAAAGTGGGTCTGGTCAGTTATCCAAAAAGTGATCTCCTAAGCCTAAAAACTAAAAAATGGTTAAAAAATTTCAATGTCACAGAACCCAAAGGCAATGTTCAGAATGTCTATTCCCTGACATTTAAAAACTAAGACAAAAAAAAAAAATACTTGTAGTTATTGTAATATTAATAAATAGAGCTGGAAAATACAAAGGGTTGAAGATCTCTAGCCTACAAATCTCACAAACACCATCTAAGGCTAATGCCATCAAATGATTTTAGATATCAATCAAAGCAAGAATATATTACAAATTTCTTCAATTGTTCCAGTACCGGGCTGTTTTTTCTCAAAAAACGGAGATCATTTTGAGGGAATATTACCTTTATGTGTAAAAGATGTAAATCCTATAGCTAAACTAAATCAGGAATATAACTACATAACTCTAAAAGTGTAAAGCAATTAATATTCATTGAATATTTACTGTGTCTCAGGGATAGTTTATTCAACTAACTCATTTCTTTAAATCAACCCTATGAGGTAATTACTATTATTTATCTGTGAGAGATTAAATTACTTGTTCAAGATCACACAGGTAATAAGTAAAAATGTCAGGATTTCAACGCAGGCATTTTATCTCTAGATAAAATGGATATAAATAAGAGACGGGGGTCTCCCTGGTGGCCTACAGGCTAAGTTTCAGCACCATCACCTAGACCGCCTAAGTTTAATCCCAGCCTGTGATCTAGAAGATGCTTAAATGACCTAGCTAGAAAGCATACATGACTAGAGTTCATTATTCATGATTTATACCTCCTGATCATTGGAGCCAAACTCCTCTTCTAATTCCTACTGTACACTTACAGTCTAATAAAAATTCTACAACAGTAGTGTAGTGTCCTCTTCATACTGCTCACCAGCAAAATACATTACACTTTTTTTAACTTTCTATTCATTTTATTCCTCTTCTCGAAATGCCTCTCCTTGCTCATATTCCCATTTCACTTAAATATCTTTTAGATTCAAAATTTCCCCAGAAATCCTTTCTGAAATCCCAGAAAAGTGGTCCTCCTTTGAGCACTTAAACATACTTTATTGAAATTACCTACTTATAAGCCAATATCCCTTAAAGATAAGGGTCCTTGAAAACCAGCAATCTTATGTTTATGTGGTCCCCTCTCCCTTGCTAATTGGTCTGTGCTTTAGAACTGGATTAGAAATGAAGAAATATTGAGTTCTAACCTCAGTTTTGTTCATTAGCTGTGACTTTAGATAATTTACTGTCTATTCTTACCTTTGGCATCCACAAATAATCAAATTCTGTAAGTTTCTTCTGATGAATATTGTACAGAAACTTAATTTTGCCCTCTTGTGACAGTACCTGTTATTGAAAAAGATTCTATACATCAACTTTTAAAAATTAAATTCGAATTGTTACTTGTAAAAAAATTAAAAGATGAACATCACTGCATCTTATCTGTTATCATTATTATTTTTGCAGTGCTACCAGAACGTGTGGAACCGAAGAGACTTCTAAATTCCTCTCTACCTGAATGACAATTAAGGCAATCCCTATATTAATATTATCCAGATTCTAAAGAAAACTGAGAAGGGAGAAATGCTTAAAATGCACAAAGTTGTAAAGTTTCGGTATGCAATTAGCTATTAAAATGGATATATAACTCAGAAGAAAAATGTACCATTTCGAAATAGTCCCAAACTGGATAACTTTAATCTCACTGGTCACAATTCAAACATCCTTAACTGAAGTTACGACCATGAAGATTTATCGGAATTGGGTGAAGGTGGTGGGGGTGATTTCGACAAGTGTCATCCTCTCGTCCAATGAAGAAGAAGAACGTGGACGAGCCCTGTATTAGGAAATTCTCAGTGAGGGAGGTACTCAGGGCAGAAAAGAGAGGGGCGAATTATGAAACAAAGAGGAAAACCACCGACACCACTAGTGCTGGCCTCTTTCCGACCAGAGGAAAGGGGAGAGGGCGGATAGTCGCAGCCGGGACCCGCCTAGGCGCTGGGTCCCGCGGTCCCCAGGGCTCCGCTCGCTCGCGCGCCTGCGCGGGGCTGGCCGGCTGCCCCCGCGGCCCCGGGCGTCCGCACCAAGTTTCTAAGAGAGTGAGAGGCGGCGACGCGGTGCATCACGGCTCCGGGAAGGCGGCCGACTGACCCGCCACACTTACTTGGTACTCGATCTCCAGCGAGGCCTTCAGGGGCATGGGCTGATAGAAACACTCCTTCTGGCCGGCCGGAAGCGTAAATGTGAAGTCGCTGTCTAAGGAGGGCGTGAAGCCGGCCGCCCCCAGCAGCAGCTCAGCGGGCACAGCAGCCAGCAGGAGAACCGGGAAGGGCAGCCAGATCCTGTCGCCCATCCCTGCCGAAGTTTCGCGTTGAAAGAGGCGTGGGTTATAGGCTCCCAGGCACCGCTTTTCTTCTCTAGACTCCTCGTGGTTGGCAGGGAGACCTGAAGCCCGAGGAGACTCCGAGAGGCGGCCGCGACGGCGGCAGACGCTCGCGCTGCCGAGAAGGGCCAGCCTCCTCTGGGTAGGCGCCGGGGGCGGGGCCAGTCGCCCCTTTCCGCACCCTCCCAGGTCTCCGCAGCTTTTGGCCCCGCGAGAGCAGGGCCCGCCTCCCACCCTGACGGCCGCTGGTTCCCATGGCTTTCCCCACACCAATGGGCGTCGCCGAGGTGATTATGGGAAATGTAGTTCCGGGCGAGCGGTTTCGGGCGCGCTCGTAGACTACGATTCCCGACAGGCCCCTCGCTCCTGGCGTCGCCTCACGCCGAGCCTGCTCGCGGGGCGGAGCCACGGCGGAGGAGGTGCCTCCGTAACGGCTCCCGCGACGGTTCGAACTCCGCGTTGGGATTCTTTAGTCTTCCGAGTGGTGTGTCTGACGCGTCCACCCCGAGGCCCGGGACTGTGTCCGAGGCTTCCGTGCGCAGACGAGAGCGCGGCGTGCGCCGCCGTCGGGTGGGTCTCTCTCGCCAACACGACCTGGGTGGTGAGCGACTTGTCTCTTGGAGGGTGGAAACGGGCCGGCCTGGAAGTTTTGTTTTGTTAGGGTTGGACCACAGTCTCCTTGCGCACGCCCCTCTGCAGGCTGTGTGTTGAGGAAATTTCGGAAGGAAGATGTCATGTTTTCATCAGCTTCTTGCAAATGACTTACGAACAACTCTGTCAAATTGAGCGTTCTCAATATAAAGCCACGCCTGTTTCCCTAGTGAGGACTCTTTCCCTCTACCGCCCATCCTGTTACATACCCGGGGGTGTGAAGAACGCTTCTTGGAGGTGATGGCGTGTCTGTGTACACCTGCGGGCGCGTTGATAGGTCCACCGATGACGTTATCGGTGCCTGTAGGTTGCGGGGGGCGCTTTCTTCCCTGTATGCGGGCAGTATGTAACCACTGCAAGTTGAAGGGATGAGAAATGTTTGTTAAATGATCCACTCGGAAATGGAAATGATTGAGTTAATGAACGTATTCATTGATACTAAGGTAATGAGAAAATTAAATTACATTAAAATACACAGGAGGTGTTCGATAAAAAGCATAATTCAGTAGAAGCATGGCATTTTAGAATTTGCCCAAATTTTCTTTATCTTTTTTTCCCCTTTCATCCTGTAGGGAGCTAGAGATGTTGAGAAGATAAAGCAGAATGGGGACCTGATCCATTACCTTCTGTCTGAGTGTTCTTACTTACACGGAAGAAAATTTTTGGAAACAAAAGGGAGGAAAGGATAGAAACAGTTTCTCTCCTAAGAGTTTATATAGCGTCTCATTTAATTTCCAACCACAGTTGCTTCCATTAAGGTGAGAATTTTCTTTTAATTCGCCTTATCAGCTGAAAATTTTTGAGTGAGGTATAGAATCTTACTGTTTCAGCTGTGAATGAAAGGAAGGTCATTTTAGTAATCGTTTATTCCTTGAAAATAGTGAACGTCTTAGTCCTAGCTTAAAATATAGACTCCTAAGTTATTGGAGCCTGAGATGTGGGCAGAATTCTAGAAGGGTGATGAAAGAGAAGATACAATGACAACGGTACATGGGATCTGAAAAAGGAATGTAATTTTAAGATTATGCAGGAAGAGCTATCGGAGTAGAAGAGATTATAAAATTTTAGTTTTTATTGTATTCATTATTAATACATATTTTAATAAAATTATATATATTGTTGATAATAAAATGTCCTTTATCAGTATTTTTATGTGCAAAGGTACTCAGTAGAGAGTTTCACAAGCCTAGAGTTACTAATCACCAGAAAGAACGAAAAACTCCCGGACATTTCTAGATTAATCTCACAGATGTTATTTTAATCTCTGTAGCTGTGATGTGAATGAGTGTATTTTTAAAAATTTTAACTATTGTGAATGAGAAAGGTTACCAGAGAAAGGTTACAACTTGCCTCAAGAAAATATGACGGTTACTATGCCAGATATCCAGACTTGTGATTATGTAAATTCAAAAATGTGTTTGAATCCTGATGACCTAGGTTCAAATCTTGGTTCTGCTGTTTAAAGTGTGTGTGTGATCTTAAGCAAGTTATTTAACTTGTCTTCTTAGTTTCTTAGTCTTTGACTTGGAATAAAAGTACTTAGCTAATAAAATTATTAGGAAGGGTCAATGTGTTTTAAAAGGACAACTATAATAACTCGATTTTGGCTATACTGAAACATTGACTCAATGAAATTCTATTAAAGTTTCCACTATGGCTTTAAATTGCAGAGAAATTTATAACCACCCATGTGTATATACATGTGGTAGTGATGGGGTAAGAAAGAAAAGGTTTTATTTTATTTTTGCCTTAAATCACCATGAGCAGTTTTACACTGGAAAAGGAAAAATAATGGGTTAAATTCTTTTAGTGTGTAGTATTTTGACTGACCCCACAGATTCTTTCAGACAAGGTATGAGAAATTAATTTCTTTTTCTTTTTTTAAAGAAATGGAGTCTAGTTCATCAGACTTCTGTAATAAAGACAATGAAGAAGAAAGTTTGCTTGCAAATGTTGCTTCCTTAAGACATGAACTGAAAATAACAGAATGGAGTTTGCAGAATTTAGGAGAAGAGTTGTTCAGGTAAGTAGGTAAAATTACATGTAGAATTTAGTTTATGACATTAATTTGTAAATGTTAAAATTATGACGTTCATTGTTAGATATTATTTGTAATATGCCTTTAAAAAGGAAATAATTTGCCATAATTTTGAGTATAACTCATAATTTAAGAAAAAATAGAATATTAGACTATCTACTTGTTAAGAAAACACCTTTTTAATATATTAAAGCTCACTATAAAATTACATGTGTTGGACTTTCTTTTTTATTATTATGTCTTCTTTGAATCTTTAGTAATCCTTGCGTAGAAAGACTCTAGACATACATAAAGACTAAGTTTATTTAAACTTTAGTTGAAAGAGTGCCTTAAATTCATAACTGTTAATCTGATCACCATCAGTATTTCAGACATTTTTCTGTTTTCTGTTTGTATATATTATTTGATGTATAGAAATTTAGAGTGAATACTTAAACGATCTAAAACTAAAGTGTATTTTTTCTTTTATCTCTAGTGTTAGTCCAAGTGAAAATTCTGATTATGCCTCTAATCCTTCAAGGTCTGAAAGACTAGTTCTCGAAGATCTTGCTCACCTTAACCACCGTGGACTTTTGAATTACTCACCTTATAACAAAGTTTATAAGATGGCTGGTAGCAGTTCTGATTGTCAAAAAAAATCAAGAGATCAGGTTATTGTTTTTAGACCTGTCTATTTAGAAGTTACTTTGCTTTTAGATCCGTCTACTTACAATACTTTTTCTTTGAGCTTTTTCTTGAACTGTCTTACTTCTTTTTTCTAGTCTTTTACTATGGTGCTCAAGAATTGTTGAATTCAAGTATAAAGAGTTTTATTATGACCTAGGAAAAAGTAGCTAATTTGATGTATAACTATATTTTTACACTTCTATTATCTGTTTTCCTTTTGCAGTTAAGTCTTGTCTTTCTTAAGTAAATTATAACAATATATACATATACTTGATTTTAGCATTGTACCATGTATGCTAGGTAATAAGTTGCTTAAATTGGACTTAACAGTTTAGCCTGCCTCCAGTTCCCTGAGATAAGGTGGCACTGTTCTCCTTTCATTATCCCTAAGTCTTGTGAATGATGCTAGACATCTTTCCTGGTCAGGAATGAATGATCTGTCTCTTTTTCTCTTGCTCTATTTTTCTGTCCCCCATTCCCCATCTCACCCTACTTCTTTCTCTCCCTTTTCCCTCTTACCTTTCTTGCTCCCTCCCTCTTTTTATTCTGTCATACTGTGTATCATCTAATGTTTATCCCTCTTCTTTACTCAGTTCCTTTTATCTTCCTTTCCACTCTTTTCTTCCTTACCCCCTCACTACCACATGTATAAGCATATGGGTGCTAATGTACATTATAACCGTTTCTGATAAACATTTGCCCTCTTACTTCAAAAACTAAAAATTGAGAAGTTCTCTTTTGTAAGGAAGCTGAAGGAGGCTCTCTGTGTCTACATTTTTAAAAATTAATTTAAATTCTGTGTCTATAGAAATCATAGATTTCCAGGAAATTTGAAAATTTGCTCGCTGTCATAATTAAAATTACAGATCCTTCTTATTTACTTATTTATAAAATAAGTTGGAATCATTGTGTTTTATTCTAAGAAAAATAAAGTCACAAATTGGAAAAAATATTGGTGATACTGATTAAAGACAAAGGGCTAATCTCTTAGTACAGTTTATTTTTTTGAATTGTATTTATATATTGTTAAAAAAATAAATCATGTTTTAAAACTCAACTCTCATGAAAATTTAAAATAATCTATTTTAAAATATAAGTTCAACAGTGTCTAATAGAAATATATATACAGTTGGAAGATAATTTTATCTATTATCTATTTTATTGTTAGTGAATATTAGTTTCTTTCCATTTACTGAGTAGTCTTATGGATAGTATACTGAAGTAATTTTGTTGGGTCTTAGCATGATGAACTTTACTGTCTAATACTGAGGGCTTTTCCACAGTGCACCATTGTTTTTTAAGCAACGCTTGTTTCCATGCATGCCACCAGCAATGTCGGAGACAGTGCTGATTGTCCTGCGTCTCCTTGCCAGCAGTCACTGTATATCTCAATTCATTTTCTGATCTCCTTGGTCATTTAAATTCATTATTTTCTATTATTCATTATTTCATTGTTATCTGTTAATTGTGACACTTGATGACATAATCCAAAATAGTTTTTTCTTTTTCATTTTTCAGGTGTTTTCATCTTCTGCCTCCATTGATCAAGAGATCAAAAATCTCCGAGAGAAACTTAATAAACTTAGGCAACAGAATTCTTGCTTGGTCTCACAGAATCATTCGTTAATGACTAAAATAGAATCTGTCCACTTTGAGTTAACACAGTCAAGAGCAAAAGTATGTTTCTTGAAGTAGTGACTATACCAACACAATAATTGTGATCATTTTAGAATTTATAATTGTAAAAATATCCCCTGTAATGCCTCGACATGCGTAATCAACTTCTTATAATTTT